AAAAAAAAAAAAAAAAACTATCATCTTATTTCCTGTTTTTTTTTCTCACTTGCTTCTTTTTAAAAAATGCTACTTAACATCTGAGTCCAAAGCCTACCAAGTGCTCAGGGCATTCATATCTTATACCCCTAGAAGATAGTTTGTACTTAGTGATGATAATGTACCATACCTATCTGACTTCCTGTTCCCTCAGAAGGATGGGGTGAGGTACCCTGTAGGAGTCTAATAAACTGATACATGAAATCAAAACCTAGTCACTGACCCAGTTCTGGTCTCAGGGAAGATGGCTCCTCAGCCCTGGCCAGCTGGGTCCATGCACAGGACCAGCTAGGCTTGGCCTTTCTGCCAAAGAGCTTACGTCTGAGGTGGTGACTACTGTTTTCTGCCTCAGGAGAAACTGAGGCCAGAGTACTTGGAACAACTCCCTGGAAAGATGAAGCTCTTCTCTGAGTTCCTGGGGAAGCAGCAATGGTTCGTTGGTGACAAGGTAAAATGAAAAGAATTGGGAGTAGTTGTTGTTCCCAGGTTACAGAATTTTTAATGCACTCATTCTTGACTCTCTGCAGATCACCTTTGTGGATTTCCTTGCTTATGATATACTTGACCTGCACTGTGTATTTGACCCCAAGTGCCTGGAGGCCTTCCCAAACCTGAAGGACTTCATTGCTCGCTTTGAGGTGATGCCTCTCATCCTCCTTACTCTTGCCCGTCAACTTTCCTTCCCTTCCCTTTTTCATGATGCTTTTTTAGTGATTGAGCTGAAATGAGCATTTATTAAGCACTGAATTTTTGCTAGGACCTAGCTCATGTCTTACACCTATTGTGTGAAATTTATCATTACAGCATTCCTTTAAGGCCGGTGGGATTCCCGGCCCCATAGCACAGATAAAGGAACTAAGACTGTAGAGAGAAAGTCATTTGCTCAGGGTCTTAGCACCAGTTCAGGCTGCGTGAGCTCTCTTTTGGCATCTGGCTTCTAAGGGCAGCAGGCAGTGACTCTCTCTGCTTTGTGCCCAAAGGAAAAGACCATTTGTACAGCTTGGATTTGAAGCTTAGCAAGCACTCTGGGAAGTGAGAGAGCCTGTGAGGAGTGTGTGCAGCTGGAATTAGGAAGGCAGGAACGAAGTTGGGTGATGTGAAAAATCAAGATGTAGACAATGGGACACCTGACTTTCAGAATTCTTTGCTCAGTCAGATCCCAGAATGGAGAAGCACTGAAACCCCACATTATAGTTGTTGCTGTTTGAAGTACTCATTGGAGCACCCCCGTGGGAGGATTTTATTTTGAATTTTTGGTTAGCAGGTGCCCTGTTTCCATCCTTTATCCTTTTCCTTCTCTCTAAGATCTCAAGTGTTCCCTTTGTGTAATGTAATCTTACTCTCATTTTCACCGATCCTCTCTATATGAGGCTCAGTTAGGCCCAGGGCCACACGTAGTGACCCTGCTCCCCCGACCCCTCCATCCTGTGACTGAAGCAGCAGGCATTCCAGACTGAGGCATGCCCACCACTACTGGGGTGCTGAGGAGCACAGCCTGGACATCACTTCATAGCTGATCGTAGGTCCCCCAGAGTCCACTTCTTTGTAACCTACAAAGCCTACTTTATGAGAGAGTTGGGAATTTGAGATATTAGTGCAGCAGGTTTTACAGCCTGCCATCTTCTTTCCTTTCCCCTCCCTATCTAGTGAAGTGTTTCTCAGCTAGTTCCCATCAGCTCTGGTTCTGATCCGGGCTGTGTGACATAGGGATTATGCAAGACCTGGCTTGACCATGGAGAGGAGGGAAGGGCAGGGGCAGAGCTGAGGGCTGCAGCTTGAGGCCAGTGTGGGCTTGATCCTTTGGGTGCAGAAAGCCCAGGATGACATTGAACCCTTTGGAATGATCTGGGCAGTCACTCTCCTTTTCATAAGGCCCACTGCACACCTGCATTTCATGCCACCTGGCGTTCTGTATCAGTGCTGGAGGTGTGGTAGGTTGGGTCCCAGTGAGATTGGGCTCAGGTACCAGGTGGAGAAATTTGAGCTTTCTGCTTCAGGGCATCCAGTAAGGGCTGCATGTGGACTGGTGGACCTTTATATACTTTCATCCAGGTTTTTCTGGGTCACTTGGGGGGATATGTGATGGATTCCAAACTGTCCTTCTGTCCTGTTAGGTTCCTTCTCTGTAAACTGAGGTAAGAAAGAGCCTGCCTGTGAAAAAGACAGTTTGTGCAGAGAGGGAATGATAGGTCCTTCTGTGGGGACAGCAGTAGGTGGGTTCAGTAGAAAGAGCCCAGAAATGGAGAGAAAAAGCAGGCTGCATCTAGACCTGTCCCACTTATTAGCAGTGTGAACATGAGAGTCATTCAACCTCTGTGTACCACAGCAGACCATGAGTTTGTGCTTTGTTTTTCCTACTTGTAGGGCTTGAAGAAGATCTCTGCCTACATGAAGTCCAGCCGCTTCCTCCCAACACCTTTATATACAAAGGTGGCCATATGGGGCAACAAGTAGGGAGTTGAAAGGGCAGGAGATGGGAGTGAGGAGCTCATTCTCTTCCTGCTACCAAGGCCCAGCCTGACCATCTTGCCTGTTGGTGGCTGTGTCTGCTTTGAGGAGCTGGGTCATAATCCTTTCCTTGGAGCTTGGGCATACCCCAGTCTAGAAGACTAGTATTGCCTTGTGGGCAGCCCTGTGCCCCAGTGAGATCCTGGGCTTGAATGACCAGAACTGCCTGGTGTGCAGAGCCTGTTCTCCAATGCAGCAGCTGCCCCGGTCCTGCCTGATCCCCAGTAAAGTCTGAACCACACTTGCTCTGTGTCCTGTCTTATTGCTCCCTGCTCTCCAGACTCAGGATTGCGGTGTTGAGGCATTGGAGTGTTCTTTGTTCTTTATCCACAGCAAGGGCTGGGTGGATGTGGACGTGTGTGGGGCTGTGATGGTCGGTCTGGGTATGAGGTCACTGAAGGTCATTGCTGTCCCTCTCCGTGTTCCTCTGTTCCCCACCCTAGGATCCCTACAGAGGGGCGCTCCTTCCAAGCCGGGTGTCGTCGTTCACGTGGCAGTGTGCAGTGCTGCCACAGGCCCTGTGCAGCTGTGTGTCGTGCTTCAGAGAGGTGTGGGCTGATGGGAAGGGCTGAGTAGCCCACAGGTAGACCCCTTCTGTCACTGTCTTGGTTATTTTTCTTGCTGCTGAGACAAAATACTTGACACTCAAAGTTATTCAGCTGGCTCCAAGGTAGGGTGACATGGCAGAGGGGCATCACAGAGGAGAAACAGTTCATGGCAGAAGGTAGCAAAAACAGCAAGCAACAAGCAATAAGTGACAACCCTCTTTATGTCTTCTATATCCCATCCAGGCTACCTGACCTTAGGGGGAGGTAGCACTCACATTCATGGTGCGACCCCCACCCCGAATCCTACCCAGAACTATTGCAAACTAGTCAGTGGACTAATTTAATAATCACACACCTTTGATCCTAGTATTGCATACTTAATCTCAGCATCACACACACTAGACCCAGCTACCTCTGCAAAGCTGCACCTGTGACCATATGAGGCTTTGGGACTTAAACTGTAACTGTTACTTTCTCTCTGAAGCTTTCCCTGATCTGAACATCCCTCTTCTGTGTTTGTAGGACACTTCCCCATAAATACATCTACTGCATTGCAATTGGTACTGTACTTTTTTTTTTTTAACCCAACTCAATTACAGGTTCATCAAGAGGATCCAGGTTATGGTGGACACTTGACTCTGACATGTATGACAGTGCCTGGCATAGGTCAATGTTCAAGAAATTTGGAAACTTGAAAGAATTCTTCCCAGGGAAGCCTTGGCAAGGTCCTATCCAGTCAGTCTTGGGACTTAGTGCTCTGGGAATAGCTATCTAAGCCCAAGGAGGTCCAGAGTATGGTGCAGAAGATTTTATATAGGTGGATATTAGAGTGGAATCTGAGCGTGCGTATACACACACACACACACACACACACACACACACACACACACACACACCACACACACCTGTTAAGAGGTTCCAGCTGCCCTTGGAGAAACATGACCTGAGATGCACAGGCTTAGTTTGGCCACAAGACAGCAATTTCTGGGACAGCAGCAAGATCACGGATTGTAGTCTTGAATAAGTCCTGCCAAGCCCTACATGGTAACAGGGTTGATCTTCAGATAGCATGCATCCATCCCTTGGTCACTGCCTACAGGTACCCCTGCAGTTAAAAAACAAGCAATGGGTAGGATGTTCAGGGTCTCTGAAATAAATGATTAATTCAAAAGTCAAAACCGATAAGATGAAAGTTCAGGCAACCTCAGTTTATGAAATTTAAGTGTTAGATAAAAAAATTTAAAGTCCAAATTTGTTAAATTTTAACTTGAAGACAGACGAGATAAAAATAAAAAGGAAAAAGGTAGTAATAGTAGTGATGGAAATAAAAGTTATGTAGAGAAAATAAAATATTAAACCAGACTTAAAGAGCTGGGGACCTTGAACAGAGATCAACAAATATTTTCCATAGAGTTTGCAGGCCGCCTGGTCTCTTGTGATTCCTCAACTTTGTCCTGCTGGTGTCGAGGCAGTGATGGACTCTGCATAATGACTGGAGTGCCCCAGCAGAACTTTATTTCCAAACACAGGCATCTGCAACAAAGAGAAAACTAAATAAATGTTTGAAACACGGATGAAGGACATGAACAAACATTTCTTTAGAGAAGATACACAAGTGGCTGATAAGCACATGAAAAACTACTCATTTTCACCAGTCTTCAGAGATACATAAATCAAAACTGCTAGGAAGCTGGGAGCTGTGGAGCATGCCTGGACCCTCAGCCCTGAGGGAGGCTGAGGCAGGAGGATTGCAAGTTTGAGTCCCACCTGGGAAACTTAGATTCTTGTCTCAAAATGGGGATATAGCTCAGTGTATAGTACACCTGGGTTCTGCCCAAGTACCACAAACAAACAACTTGAAACCCAGAAAACTACAAGGAGATTCCATCTTACTTCCATTAGTATGATTTTTGTTGAGACAAAACAGTAAGACCCAACCCTTTCTGAGAATCACTGTCTCCTCTTTCTTTGACAATGGAAAGACATTTCCATTATAGTCTTTCCAGTGTGGTCTTACCCATCTGACCGCTACAACACCTCTCTGCCTTGTCTGACTACTAGGCTGCCCCAAGGGTGATGACCCAGGAAGGTAAAGGTTGGCTCTGGAGTCTTTCCACAGCTTCTGTCAGCCAGAACTGACAGGACTGTTGAGAGGAAAGGTGGTGAAAGCTGTCGTCTAAGGCCCCTTGGGCCTGGTTTGTTGGGTATCAGATCTCCTTGAACCCTTTGACATTATCTGTGTACTCTATCCTAGTGTGGCCACAAATGAGGGTCGTATGCCTCAGAGCTACAGATGAAGTAAGTTGAGACACAATGACATTGTACTCAGGTGCTGTCATGTCACGCAGGGTAAATTTCATTTATCCAGGAATCGTAAACTTACATAAATAAAAATGAGAGACATAAGTTTAAAAGGAGGAACAAAATAATTTCACTGGAAAGAGGAGAGAAATGAGGAGATAGATGTAGGGAACAGGGAAAGTGGATGTTACTAGAACCTCTGCAGAAAGTCCTAGTCTCCGGCAAGCTACGACAGCACAGGGCAAATTAGTTTATTAGACAGAAAAGATAGAAAAAAATGAGACTTATCGAAGAAGCTGAGCTTTGGGCCTGATCAGTGCTGCCCCGGGGGGCAAAGACCCAGACCTGGAGCTTCCCACACCTTTATTCAGTGCGCTGGGAGAAGCGAATGTGACAAATGACTCAAGGGGCAGCAGAAATCCTAGAGCAGCGAGGAACTGTGCAGATGAAGATTTCCTTCCTCCCAGGGTGCCTTCAGCTGGTGTAGTCCTGCCCTGGGGCATTACAGCATCACCAAACTATTGAGGTCTTAGTGTGACCAGAGGCCAAAGTGGAGCTATGTTCTGAGATGCCATAGCTGGCCTTTTGGCAGGAGAACTCCACCTAATCAAATGATTTCTCCCCAAACTTACGTAGAATTGCTCCTGACACAGAGACAGTTGTTGGAGCAAGGCAGGGAGCCCGGGGCCAGTGGGTGAGGGTATTTGTGCATAGCACCTTTTATTATTTGGCAAAAAAAAAAAAAAAAAAAAAACCCCCCCAAAAAGACTCCCCCATCTGAAAGTTTTTACAATTTGATTGGCTGTTTCAGGCTCTGAAGCCCCTGATGTAGCCACTGACCAGCTCCACTGCCTATGTGCAAATTCTTAGACAAGCTCATCTAGCCCCTCTCTGTCCTGCCACGGTGCTATCTGTAAAACTTATGTAAGCCATACATACAAAGTGGAGTTAGCAATTAGTAAAGGGTTACATGTACATTTAGTGCAGCAACACACACATGTGCATACGTATGCACAGGTGCAGGTGTGAGTATATATTTTATATACTAAATGCGTTTTTTGTAACGTAACACCCTCTCCCTTTTTCTCCTTTGTACTTAACTAGAGATGGACAAAAGCAAATTGGGACCTCGGCACCCAGTGGAGCCATGTGGCTTAACAGTTCTCCCTGCCTCTCTCTTTTTTTTTTTTTTTTTTTTTTTTTTTTGGTACTGGGGATCAACTTGCTTTTTGTTTGTGAAGTGGGTGGTGGCTCCACTGAGCTAACTCCCTGCCCCCTGCTTCTCTCTTTTTTTTTCTTTTAAAATTAATTTTATTGATACATTTAAGGTATACAATATAATGATGTTCATTGTTGGAAATTTGTACCTTTACATAATCAACCTTGGTTCTCATTTTTTTCCTGTCACCCTGCCCTCCTTTCAACCCCTCCCTCCCTCCCCATCTACAAAGACTTTGTTTCCATTTTTTCATTTTCTCATATTCTATTCTCTTCTTTCCTTTCCTCTACCCTTCATATTTCCCCTTCCCCTTTGTCCCTTTTCTTCCTATTTCACATTATCTATTATACCTTTTAGTCCTTATTTATGCTTTCAGTTTCTCACACTAGAGAAACTATTCAGTATTTACATGTGTGTCCTATTAATTTCACTGAAGAATATGGCCTCAATGTGCATCCATTTAGCTATAAATGTCTCTGATTTCTCATTTTTATGGCTGAGTAGTACTCCATTATATATATATTTAAAAACCCACATTTTCTTTATCCAGTCCCCAGTTGATGGGCAATTGGGTTGCTTCCAAATTTTAGCTATGAACTGGGTGCACCTATATTGCTGTGGTACGATTCTTTTAATTCTTTGGTGAAGATACCCAGCAGGGGAATAGCTGGGTCAAATGGGACTTCCAATCCTAGTTCTTTGAGGTATCTCCATGCTGACTTCCACAGTGGTTGTACCAGTCTACACTCCCACTAGCAGTGGAGCAGGGCTCCTCTTTCCCCAGAGCCCTGACAGCATTAGTTATTGGTTGATTTCATGACAGCAGCCATTCTTTCTGGGGTGAGGTAGAATCTCAGCATTGTTCTCATTTGCATCTCTTAATGACCAGTGGTGTTGAACATATTTCATATGTTTATTTGCTATTTCTACCTCTTTGTCTGAGAAATGTCTATTCATTTCAGATGCCCATTTTTTGACTGGGTCTTTAAATTTGAGAGGTCTGATCTTTTAAAGTTCTTTATATATTCTAGAGAGTAGACCTTTGTCTGAGGAGCAGCTGGTGAAAAATCTTTTCCACATTGTAGGTTGTCTCTTCACACTGTTGGTGGTTTCTCTTGCGGTGCAGAAGTTTTTTTAATAAGAAGACATCCCACTTGTTGATTGTTTGTGCTA